GAAAGTCATTAATGTCTGCTCTTGGGCACTTATTGCTGGAGACCCTGGTTGCCAAAAGTATTTGTCTGCAGAACTCAAGAACAGGGCTTCTTCTAGGGGTTAACTTTAATCATTGTTAAAGCTGAGCCCAGACTTTACTCTTATGTAGTGGAAGGAGTTGAATTCAAAGTAGGAATAGAGTGTTGTTGTAGTTGTGATGGTCCAGGGGATATGCAAAAAGCACTGGGTTTTTTTTTGGATCAATTGTATAGTTGGGAGAAATGTTAAATAGGTTTTCCAGCACTAAGTGCCCTTCTTCAGATCTATCTGCTTGGCCCACCTAAATCTTGTAAAGATAAGACATACTAGTTTCTGCAGCCAGTAGCATTACGTGCAACTGCCTTTGACTCCCCAGATCAAAAAGTTAGGCACACATTTACAATTAGGTCAACAGGGGCATGAGTCCAGAGCAGGGCTCAAAATCACACCTCTGGAGCTATAGCAAGACACCATAACCCCTCAGCCACAAAACTGGTGGGATGATTTGTACAGTTTACTGGCTGATTATCACTACCTAGTAGGTGCACACTCCAAGCATATTGACAGGATGTGCATGCCTGTTCCACTGCATCTAATACATTTAGCTATCCCAAGGAGATGTGCTTGGCTGTTCCTGTTGTTCCAAGATTCCAAGGTCTTTGGGTACCCCACTACTATATCTGGTCACCCCACAATCCCCTTGTGCCTGGGAAGCCCAATTCATCCATGAGGATTGCTTTCCCACTGAGACCTCAGCCAGATGGGACTTTTCCAGATGGGAACTACCCAGGAAACCTCAGAAAGACTTGTCAAGGCTGCTCCTTGACTCTCAGATTCACAGAAGTTTAGGGCTGGAAGGGACTTCATGAGATCATCTGGTCCAGCCCCCCTGCTCTGGGCAGGAAAGTCTGCTGGGGGCAAATAAACCCAGCAAGATGTGCATCCGGTCTCCTTCGGAAGATCTCCACAGTAGGTGCCTGCACCACCCCCACTGGGAGTCTATTCCAGGTCTGGTCACAGATTCAGCTGGAGCAAGATGTAGAGGAGGGTGTAAAGCATTTCCTGAGTGTACTCTGCCTGCCTGGGATACAGGGAAGGAGAGGGGAGGATATCTCTACAGGGAGCCTACCCCACTTGCATCACAGTGGAGAGCTGAGCCGCTCCAGCTACAGGAAGCCTGTGAGTAGATCTATTATTTCAAGCTCCTGTGTTGGGACACATCTTGTCAGATGCCTGTCTGTCTCACCAGCTTGGACACAAGATGAAGGTGAAGCTGAGTGGGCTGAGCCTTCATTGCCTCCTTCTGGCGAGGAATTGTTACTTCTCAGGCTCCTGACATCCATTCCACCAGCAGTCAAGGTTGTAAGTTCTTTATTAAATAGGGGGATTCATCTCTCCACAGGGTGGCACCTGCCCCTCCGGGGGTCTCTATATAGTTACACTGGTCTATATAAAGTGCTGCCGCTTGGAAAGTATTTTGAAGAGATTCCTTCCTGCTCTTCACTGAGGGTCATAAATTCAGATGGTATTTAAGAGAATCTCAAATGTATTTCCAGGGCTGTTTGCAGAGGGCTTTAGCATCAAGCAGAGGCCCCTTAAAATAAAGGGATTATTGGGAGTCAAGTGTTAGATTACCTGGTGCTTGTTAATTGAACTTCAGAGGCTTTCGCAAGCAACTAGCTCCAGCAGGGAGCGGTGTGTTGGTATTAACAGTGTTATATAAATGAATATAATGTAACATAATGAAATGCTTTACAGCATCTCACACCTCTGTTTTCAGCTGAACCTGCTGCCCAACTCACAGAAACACAGCATGAAGGAGACTGATCAGTGGCCCAAGGTAGGTGCTAGCAACCAGGACTCCTGACTTCCAGCGCTTAGGGCAGGGGACTGGGAGTCAGAACCCCCAATTTCTGGTTCTAATTCTGTTTCTAATTTGTTATTTGACCTACAGCTGGTAAGCTGAGGTCTGATACTGAGGGGTACTGAGCCCTTCTAGCACTGAAAGAAGCCAATGGGAATCATGGGTGCTCAGAATATCTGAAAATCAGCCCATGAACCTATTGTGAAGTTCAGTTCCTCTAGGCGTGTAAAGTGCTTGGGTGCCTACAGTAGGCACCCACAGAAACCTGAATAGGCCACAACTGTGAAGGCTCCAAGGCGGCAAGGCCCAGTGGAAATGAGAAACCTCATCAGCTATGAAAATTTCATCAGCTGGCGCTGGGGAGGCAAGAATCTGGAAGTGAAGAGCAGATGGGCAGCCTGGATTCTTGGAGCCATTGTCCTTCTGCCTGTTATCTGACTCCACTGCAGAGAGAGGATTTGGAGAATTTATAGAGGGACAAGTATTGAAGGCTTTCTTGAAATATCCCTGCCTGACGCGTGGCCTGGTGCAGCAGGCACATGCTGGGTGTGATATAGATGTTCTGTCCTATTCACTGGTGCTACATTCCTAGGGTCATGGAAGTAGGGCCCTGCTGAGCCCCTGTCTTCATCTGTGTAAGAAAAGAGCCCTTTCTGAGGTGTTCAGCAGCACTGTAAACCTATACACCAGCCTTTTGCCACCTGAGCTGGGACCTAAAGGGGTCACCAAGGCAACAAGTTTATAGATATGACCTATGACAATATTTCAATACTTCATCTTGATTTGGCTTAATTAATTAACCACACTAATATCTGCACAGGAAATACGAATAGGTTAGACAGTGGATTTGTACAAGATGGTTTGGATAGGGATGATCCTGCCTCAGGCAGGGGGCTTGGACTAGATCAGTGGTTCTCAACCTTTTTTCTACCAGGACCCATTTGTAAACATTGATGGCCAGTCTCGACCCAGTGCCCCTCACTCCCGACCCACTGCCTCCCACCCCCAGGCCCCAGCCTCCCATTGTGTGGGCTCAGGGTGTGTGTATGGGGCGGGGTGTGTATGTGTGTGGGGCATGAGGGGCCCCAAGAAGCTCCTTGCTGGCTGGAGCTCTGCTAGCCTGCACAGGAAAAACCACAGTTTCCCACACTTGTCTCCTTTAAAAGAGAATCCATTTTTAAAGTTTGTTCGCAACCCTTTCATGTATTTTCGTGACCCACTTTTGGGTCGTGACCCATGGGTTGAGAAACGCTGGACTAGATGATGTTTGACGGTCCTTTCCAGCCCTACTTTCTATGATTCTGTAACTGAACAACAGTAAGAGGGAGACAGTAGTAGAGGCAGCGGTCAGAATTACATGTGCTGTAAGAATGGAAGAGAGGAGCTGGTTCAGATTGGGATCAAGATGCATCGGCAGCACTGTGCGTGGGAGTCCCAGGACTGTAATAACAAGAGATTCTGCAGATCACAATTGAGGGGCATTGGCAGAATGGTATTGTGTGCTTTTCCCCGCAGTCTGCTGGTAGGCATTATCTTCAGCCCCTGCACTTTCAGAAGCATCCATTTCCCCTACATCTGTTCGAGTGGATTTTTCCACTCTACTTATCTCTTTCCGTCTCCACCTGGCCCCACAAACAGGTTAGAGTCCTCTGTTTATACTATCATAACTATTGCCATAGCAACAGGCTATGATGTGCCCCAGGACTGAATGTGACGTACAGCCTTCCAGGGAAGGGAGAGGAGGCAGGGCTTTTTTAGGGGGAATTGGTTACATAACAAAGGAAAAAACCTGCTGTTCTGGACACTGGTCTCTGCTGGAGTAACACAGTTGAGAGATAATCTGAGGCAAGGGTATTGTCCCTTGTTCCTGCAATCTAGCTTTTTGCATGGAGGGAGGAAAAATCTCCTTCGATACTCTTGTGAATCACAGCTTTGCCTCCTTTGATCGTCCCTGTGATAGTCAGGGGCCACACTTCTCCTGTTGCAATCCTGTGTTGTGGCCTCCCGGCCATCCCATTTGCAGACTCTCTGGATTCCTCATGTGAACACATCTCATATGAACACCCAGCTGCTGGCAGCAACGAGAGAAAAGGAAGGGGAGGCACGAGCAGAAAAAAAGGCCTTTGTTGGGTTGTTTCAACAAGGCTCGTTCCCCTCCCCTGGGCCAGAGCAATGTCCCTGGGGCCAGGCTTCATTCATGGGGCCAGGGTAGGAGTGGAAACTCGGGACTGGGTGAGCCTGGGCACTGAATTTCACCTCATCCAGGACAAGGGGGGGGCTTTGGTGGAGCAGGCTGCCACGCCACTCTTCCCTCCGTGTGCCAGAGGACAGGGTCCTGAAGCACGCATTGCCCTGAAGAGGCACCCCAGCCCTGAGTCTGTGGGTATGTGTATGTGCACACATGTCCCCTGCCTGGCCATACACAGGTGTGTATGTGTGTGTAAGTGTGTCTCCTCCTCGGCCCTACATGGGTGTGTGGCCATCCCCTCCCTGGCCATAAGGAGGAGAAGTAGTGTGTGTTGTGTGTCCTCCTTGGCTGTAAATGGGGGGGGGGGTGCATCCCCTCTGGCTATACACAGGTGCGTGTGCGTGCATGTGAGTCCTCCCTGGCCGTACACGGGTGCGTGCGCCATATACCGGGGGGGGGGGGTGTCCCCCCACCCCCCCCGGAGCCATATACGGGAGGGGGTGGAGCTGGTGTGTGTGTGTTACAGGTGTGTGTCCCCATTCCCTCCCCGGCCATAGGGAGGAGGGGAAAGGGGGGTGTCCTCCTTGGCTGTACCCGGAGGTGGGGCGCATCCCCTCCCTGGCCCACACACAGGTGTGTGTGCATGCGTGCGTACGTGCCCCTCCCTGCTTGCAAACGGAGCTTACGTCACAGCACATTCCCCCTCCCTATTCCCCACGACTGAGCCGTTTAGTTCTTTCCCAGAAGCGCTGCTTCCATTCCTCCCCCCTTCAACGTCGTCACTTGGTTTCTTCCTCCTCTCCCCGCCCTCCGCGCGGTTTCCATGGCGACCCGCGAGGCTCCGCTCCTCCTCCCTCCAGCAGCGCGCTGCGTGGCCGCTGGGATGACGCGCGACGCCCGTGCGTGGGGATTCCGCCGGATTACCCGGCATGCCCCGCGGCAACATGGCCGCCTGAGCCCAGCGCGCGCGGGGCTGGGCTGAGCGGGGGCAAAGTTTGGGGTGGGTCCGACGCGGAGCCCAACCGGGCCGGAACCGGCCGCAAAGTCCCCGCGAGCCCGGGCGGGAGCGGGGCCCAGCCGCGGGTAGGGCAGGGAGCTCCGCCAGGTCAGCACCGAGCCCGGGGCCGCAACGGCCGGGGGGGGCTACTCAGGGCGCATGCGCGAGGAGCCAGCACTTGGTGGGCGAGGGGAGCCGGGATGGGGGATTAGAATGGAGCCAGGGGCAGGGGCCGGCATCCCTGATTGGTTCCCAGGGGGCGAGGGGGCAGGGCAAAGTGGGGCTGGTAGGGGCATGGGAGGGAGCCAAGCTGGAGTCCTGCAGGGCATGGGGAGGGGGGCCAGTGCCTCCTGGCAGGAAACTCTGCCCCCCTACCTGGGGAGCAGGGAAGGGCAGGGAGCCATCCTGCTCTGGCGGGGGGCCACAGTGGGGAAAGAGGGGGAGGCAGGAGCAAGGCTGTCTGGGTGTGGAAGAGAGAGGGGCTTCCCTGCTTGCCTAGAAACTCTCCCTGGTGTCACAGAGGCATGCTGTGGGTGGGGTTGCGAGTCTGAACAAGCTCCCAGGGGGCTAGGGGAAAGGGTTAGGCAAAAGCATTGCTGAGCAGGCAATGCAGAAGCATGTCTGGGTCTGGGCTAGAGCTTCAATGGGTAGGAGGCTGTGTGTGGGGAAGCTGTGAATGGGTGCATGCTTACAGCTGGGATTATGATCAAGAGAAAGGCTGTTCTGTTCGAGGAGAGCGCCAGTGAGAGAGGAATCTGTGAATCTGGTAGGGCCGAGAACTTGCTGTGTTGGGTTCAAGAGATGGCAGCTGGGATCAGCCCGCTGAAAAGCACAGCTCAGCAATGTGAGATTGCATCCCTCTTGCAAGGGCTTCACAAAGGTGCAATCCTGTGTTTTGCAGGATCAGAACTAATTCAGAGACAGCTGAACAAAAGGGATTACTCAGGAGGAAGAGGTGAATCCTCTGGATACGAACACTGCAGGGCAGGTAAGGACACTAGGAATGGGGTGGGGCTGCACCTGACTATGTTCCGGAAGTCCCATAGTGCACATGTGTGAGGCATGTTTCCTGCAAAGGGATCTTCTGCAAGTCCAGCGTATTAGAGTACTCTTCTGTTCTGTGAGGCCCCTGTTGCCTAAATGAAGTCCCCAGAAAGGATGGTAGAAGCAGAGGTGCTGATTAAGAAGGGAGCTGGCTGGTTGGTGGAATTCATTAATATACTGGGCACAGGAGACAGGGTGGTTTGTAGTGTTTTTTGTGCCACTTGAAAGGAACCTTTTAAAGCCCTCTTTTCCAGTGATGGAGGCCTAAAGCAAATGTGTGGGGACAAGACAATTTGAGCCTAGAGTTTGTTGCCTGATTAACAAATGGTCTGTCAAGTCAGAGTTGCACTGAGACCTTTCCTCATGATCTCACTCTGAGGGATGTACTAACCCAAATTGCATTCAGTAGTTGGTATACTAGAAATCAGTACCTTTGCTGCTATCTTTTAATTCAGTGGGGGCCAACCTTTTTGGCCTTTATGCCACCAATTAGCCCTTCCTGAGTGCCACTCCAATCCACCTTCTTTTGCCTGATCCACTGCTCTGTTTTCTGCTTCCTTCCTGTCTTCTGCTATGATGCTTATCCTCTCCTGATCTGCTGCCACTTGTACTCATGGTGCAGGTTGACCACCTCTGTTTTAGTTGATTCCCTGATGGCTGATGAAACTGCACTTCTGGGTTTTCTGTAGTAGAATTGAGAGCTTGAGGCAAAGGGCCCTTTGGTATTTGTTTAACTAGGAGTTGATCTTTGGCATGTCCTGTTTCACTTTCCCCTCAAGTCACTTTCAGTATAATGCCTTCATTTCCCTTTCTCTCTGTCACTGAGTCTGCAGAGAGCATTTGGTACCTGTGTTAAGCTGCATAACCAAACTCATACTATAAAGTTGGACCTTAGTGACCCAAGTGTTGCCTGCAACAGTCAACTTTCAGCTTCTAGCTCTGGAAAATTAGATGCCGGTTGCTGATAACATATTAGGAATATGTTTTGGAGGGGCCTCAGAAGCTTCACAGTGTAGCCTGGGTCTCTGTTAATGAGAATATTATGTGCTAGGACCTGTTGCCAACTCAGACTCGCTCACTGTATCAAAGATGGAATTACAGTCTTGTCCAGGGTATGTTGATTACTTGTCAGCCTCTGCAAAAGTCACTTTGCAGCTCTCAGATCCTTAGTATCTTTTACCACACTTTGGATGTGGTTCCTCTGAAATGTGTGGTAGCAGGAATTCATAGGGTCACAGGAAAGTAGGGCTGAAAGGGACCACGGAAGGTCATCTAGTCCAGCCCTCTGCTCAAGGCAGGGTCATCCCTGACTAAACCATCCTAGGCAAGTGTCTGCCCAACCTGTTCTTGAAATTTCCAGGAATGAAGAATTCACATCTCCTCTAAGTATCCTGTTCCAATGTTTAACAATTCTCACAGGCAGAAAGTTTTTCATAATCTCCAATTTACATTTCCTTTGCTGTATTTTGAGGCCATTGCTCCTAGTTCTGTCCCTTGTAACCACAGAGAAAAGGCTATCTCCATCCTCTTTATAATCATCCTTCAGGTATTTGAAGACTGTTACTAAATCCCCGTCCCTTAGTCTTCTTTTCTCCAAATGAAACAATCCTAATTTTTTCAACCTTCATACAGTTCTGAGAAGCATACTTTAATAATGTTTGTTATTCTCTGCTGGACTCTCCGATGTGTCCATATCTTTCTTGAAGTGTGGGACCCAAAACTGGACACAGTACTGCAGGTGAAGCCTCACTGGTGCCAAATAGAGTGCCAAATAGAGTGGCAATTTGCAAGAGGCACTCCTGTTAAAGGCTAGCAGTATGCTGGGTTGTATTTTTTTCAACAAGAGCATGCAATTGACTCCTATTGAGTTTATGGACTACTGTGACCCTCAGGTACTTCTATGTAATAGTGCATCCTAGCCAGTTGTTCCCCAGCTTGTATTTGTGCGTGCAGTTATTCCAACAAGGACTTTACATTTGTCCTTGTTGAATTTCAGGTGGTTGGTTGGTTGGTTGATTGATTTTTCTTTGGGACCATTTCTCTAGTTTATCCAGGTCATTCTGGATCCTAGCCCTACCTACCCTCCGGAGTCTGCATCTCTACCCAACCTGGTGTCATCTGCTAATTTGTGAAGCATGCAGACAGTCCCGTCATCCATTAATGAAGATGTTGTATGATTCTGGACCCAGGACAAACTCCTGGGGAACCCCACTTGATACCTTCTCCCAACTCGATACAGAGCCATTGAGGACTACTCATTGGGCATAATGATCCGAACGCTTATGTATCTACTTTTATAGTACTGTCATCTAGTCTGTACTTCCTTAGCTTATGAATGTCATGGGAAACAGTGTTAAAAGCCTTGCTAAAGTCAAGATGCATCACATCCAGTGCTCTCCCACTATACACAGAGCCTATCACCTTATCGTAGAAGAAGATCAAGTTGGTCAGGCATGACTTGCTCTCGGTGAATCCATTCTGGCTGTTCGTAGGAAGAGTTGCCTAGATCAGAGCTGTGTGACTGGTGGCCCATGAGTTGCATATGGTCTGTGGAGATTAACATGCAGCCCCCAGGCTCCCACCTGACTGCTGCTGCCCCAGCATTTCAACGGCTTAAGTGGCCAAACAGCCTCTCCTTCCTCTTGTTTCTGCTTCCTGCCTCCATTCCCGGGGGCAGGATGTGGTGAGGCCAGGCAGCAGAGGTGCTGTATGTATGGTTAGGGGGAATTTGGGCTGCCCATGGTGCAAGAGAGAAGCTGCATGCATATAGCTGAGAGTGAGTCTACACTGCTCATTGTCTGCACAGTATGAGAGGGCCAGGCTGTCTGGGCTGGGTGTGAGGTGGGAGGGCCCTGAGGGTCTACGGCATGTGGGCCCCTGGCCTTTCAGAAGTTGGACAGCACTGGCATAAATTACAGGATTTGCGGCATGTGGCCTTGCTTATGTGTGCTTTTAAAAAGTGGAGCAAAGACTAGCAGCTGCATAATGGTAGAATAAGCAGGGTCCATGAAAACAGGATCATCTGCTTTACTCAGTAGTCCTAGATACTTCTTCATTTAAAGAGGACTTTGTGCTTGTGAGGCCAGGAGGTTGACCTGCATTCTACAGAGGGGTTCAGCCTGGGAACCCTGAGATGAGCCCTTCAGCTGTAATCTATCTTGCTGTCTCATAAGGAAAGGATATTTAAGGTTGATGTGAGAATTCCATGCATTGCAACACTTACTGTTGTTTCATGGAACAATTTCCAGGCTAGGATCACAACTAATCTCCCTGTTTCTTCCCTTGCAGCTGAGGGCTGGCTGCTGCATCAGGAAGTGTGATAAGAACTGTGCAGTGCTGGTCCATTTCCCTCTGCCTCTCTTGTTCGTGGGCAAGAGTGCTGTGTACAGGCACAACTTGGGAAATCAGCTCTGGGATGGGTGTGGAGCAAGGGAAGGATTTACAGAGTAAGGAGAAGGGGCTTGCTTTGTTGTCTTGTTGGCTCACCCCGGTTTGAGAACAAGCTTAGCATCTCATGACTGAGGCTGGCAAGGACTGGGGTTGACCTGAGGGGGCAAAGTAACTTGTTATTTTTACTGGGCTAATTGAAAATTAGGAATTAAAACTAAATCCCTAAATTTGGATCTTCCTATTTCCCTGTTTGGGAGTGTTTTGTGGAGATTCCCCCCCGTCATATAACAATTAACACTTCGGTTTGTCACCTTTTCAATCCTTGGCATCTGCTGAGGCTACCCACAAGAGCCCAGTTAGTGCTAAGTAATGAGCCTAGTAGGTATTATGGATACCTAGGTACTAAGGACTGGAAAGAACTGAGCCCCTTCTCATGTTCTTTTTATACATGGGCCACCAAGGAGGTGTGTATGGGTCTCTGCCACTTTCACCGTTGCTCTAGAGATGAGATTCTCTTTCAGATTTCTGAGCCAGTCCCCCTCAGAAAAGACCACATCTGTAACTGGATTTTGAAGAATGTTACATTATTCATATCAGTGCCTCCTCTAAGCAGCCTGTAGAGAGGCCTTGACCTGAATGCCAAAGATAGCGAGTCTGTGGCAACTTCAGGATATGACTCCTTGTGGTATGCCCCTGTTCCCCGACTGCAAACTAAGGCTGATACTTCCAGTTTTCCCTGGGGAGTTGTGTGGACAAGACCATTAATGCCTGCGAAGTGCACAGTGTATGATGAAACACCAGAGTAAGGTCTACAAATAAATGAGAATACACTGAGCAGTGACTGGCCTACTACTCAGCATGAAGCAGGATGCTGATGTAGGCCACTGTCCAGCACACTCCGTAGAGTAGGGGCACTGATGCCAAGTAAAGCCTGAGTTGTCTCTGTCCTGTTTAAAGGGAGTGGTTGCTGTGGGTTCTCAGGGTTTGTTCTTGGGTTCTTTTACTTGACTGGTACTCTATCCATGACTTAAATGTATCCTTTCTACCTCCTTCTGCTTCATCCTCTCTTCCAGACTTGGTAACTGTTCTCTTTTTGGTCAGCGTGTCATTACATTGTCTTATTGCTAATGCACTTGGACACAGATGCTCCAGCAGCAGCAGCAGCTCACAATCTGCCTTAAATCTGGAATGATACGATATGCTATCTCTCTAGAGCATCCTACTGGGAGCTGTGCTTAGTGGATCACTAAGGCTCTCCATGCTGTTATGAAAGGGTTTAAGAACAAAGAGTTTTAATGCTGGGAATGCTTTCTTTATATGGCTCAGAGAGTGTTTCCTGCTGCTGTTTTTGAGGCGTGTAAGGTGCTGAGTCCTAGGGGGTACCCAGAGGAGAGGTGAAAGAGCCAACACACATTCCTCAGTTAAAATGAATTAACTTCTTTAAAGTTGATAGGCAACAAATTAAATAATTATTAAAAATATTTCACATGGTGCATAGTTAATCTGTGAAGCACACTACTACATAACAGCATTGAAGCCAGGAGCTTAATGGGACTCAAAAGATCAGTGAATGAGAACATTCTGAATTATTTTGGAATAAAATACTACATTTAGAAGGAATAATCACCCTCACATGTCAAGGAACGAATGAACATGTAACTAGTAGGGGTTAGGATGAAAGGGCATTTATTTTGTAATGGTGTGCTTTATTTTCTGAAGCATCTAGTACTGACCGGAGTAGCAGGCAACATACTGAATCATGTCTGATTCAGTCTGGCAGTTCCTAGAAGGTGCAAAACATGTTCAAGTGCTCATTAACTTCCTCTTTACGATCATTGCCCTTGGAAGACCCCTCTTGGTAGTCTTAGCCAGGGAACTGTCCAAGAAGATAATAACATGAGAGGGTTTTAAATTTTAGAGGGGATCCTTGGAAAGAAAGAGAACAGGATCTAGAAGCTGATTTTCTCTTATTCATGAATGGGTGCTGCTGGATATGTGTGTCAGGCAGGGGGACACCATTGCTCACAGCTTCTTGCAGGTGCTGTTTAGAGGAGAAGGAACGTATGGAGTTTGGCCTCTCCACGTTGCAAGCCGGCAGTGGACTTTAGTCCAAATGCTACTGGAAACCTTGTTGGCTAGAGGATGGAATTTTTCTAAGGAGATTCTAGGGAGATCTGACATGTTTTTATGCAAGCTTCAGTTTCTGTACTCTGCAGGATGCCTCCTTTATCTTGCTGTCCACCTCCCTCTGTGCTGAAGACCTAGCATAGAGCTGGCATTGCTTGTTTGTGAAGGGACAGGCTGGTAAGGGGAAGAGAATCCTGGTAAGTGGCAGGGAAGGATGTGTAAGAGGGCATTTGATGGTAATGTCTGCCTGAGTGTGATGGGAGCTCTCAAAGGCTATGCCAGAGTAGGAGGATTTCCAAGGCTGGCCACAGATTCTGAGTCCTGTGACATTTGTGAACACAGCACCCAGGGACTTTGCTGGGTACTTCCTCGGCATCCAAGGGCAAAAGTCAGCTATTTGTGTGGTTTGTGTGACTGCATTCGGTGAATAAATAGTGGCTGTAAAAGTCGCCCGATATCTGTGAAACGGAGGGAATAGAGTTGAAAAATGAAATGGCATAAGTTCAGGGTAGGGTTTCCTGCAGGACTCCCACTGGCTTCTAGGGGGCCTTGCTTTGGGGTCTGACTTGTGGCCACCACACTTCATGGGTGGTGTGGCGTTCTAGTTGGGTTGGTAGTGGAGGCCTCATAATGCTATGTATTCATGTTGCATTTCCAAAGGATCAGCAGATTCAGAGCCGTGGTCTCAACAACAAGTTCCTTTGGCCAGATTCTGTTTTCATTTTTTTTCTGTCAATAAAGTTCACTCATGGTTTGGCAAAAAACAGGATTGTGGAGTTTCTGACTGTACTGCATTTAAAGTCTCAACCTTAAAGTTTCATCAGTGTCATCCAGGTTTTCTTTAACATTAAAAGTTCTGAGCGCCGTACTTCAAGAGGGATGTGGCTAGCATTGAGAGGGTCCAGAGGAGGGCCACTCGCACGGTCAGGGGGCAGCAGGGCAGGCCCTATGAAGAGAGGCTAAAGGGCGTGAATCTATTCAGCCTCCACAAGAGAAGGCTGAGAGAGGACCTGGTGGCCACTTACAAACTCATTGGGGGGACCAGCAGAAATTGGGGGAGGCTCTGTTCCCCCAGGCACCACCAGGGTTTACTAGGAATAATGGCCACAGATTCTTAGAGAGAAGGTTCTGGCTGGACATCAGGAGACATTACTTTACAGTTAGGGCTGCCAGGCTCTGGAATGGACTCCCAAGGCGGGAGGTGCTCTCTCCTACCTTGGGGGTCTTCAAGAGGAGGCTGGATAGATATTTGGCTGGGGTGTTATGACCCCAGCACTTGTTCCTGCCCGGGGCAGGGGGTTGGACCTGGTGATCTGTTTAGGTCCCTTCTGACCCTAAGCACTATGAAAAGAAGAGAGCTGGGGTAGCACCTATGTTCTGGGGGTATCATATCTAGAGCTGTATAAAACCTCAGGTGAACTTGACTCTGGCATTTATTACAGATGAAGATAAGAGGCTTTTGCAAGGTAATTAGACAATTACTGTAATAAGTTTTCTTACCACTGTCTTTATATGTGCTGGTCTTGGTGACTGCCTCATGGCTCTTGGCCATAGAACTGGGCATCCATCGCTTCCTGTGTTCAGAATAATGTTTAAATACTCCTCTCAACCTAATCACCTAAGCTAGACTTCAGTCTCTGCTTTTGCTGTTCTTTAGCAGGGACTTCATTCCTGCCAAGTGGGGAAACTTCAACCGGTAAAGAGTTGACTGCATTTTCAAGTGGCCAGCAATTTCAAATGAACTAAAGTAGTTACAGCTGCTTCAGATGCCTTGAATTTCCCACTGCTGGTGTGTGGTGTTAAATCACTTTGTCTTATCTTTTAAATGTTTTTTCCCTTTCCTGTTTATGAGATGCCCACAAATGGTCTACTGTGAAATATACAAAGTATCATTGGAAAACTAGAAAGATGTTTCCTTTTAATTAGAGCTGTTGCAAGCAACAGTATTAGGTATGTGACTTTTAAGTTTACAGTGTTCTGTTAAGCTGCTAGAGCTTTCTAAACAGAAAGATGCTGGGTCACTAATGCATGAAAATGTCACAGCCTGCCTCCATGGTCATAGTGCAGTTTTTCAGGGGTCCAGTTTGTGGCTGTCTGAAAACTGAAGCTTTGTTCAGAAGGGTCTCAAGTTTTCACTGAGAGCAAAACCCTGTATTAGCAGGAGATGGTTAGTTTAATCTTTGCTTGGGAAATTAATTTGGGGAAGCCTCTTGATTTGATTCCTGAAAAAAAACCCAACCTAGCTGTTACAGGACAGCAGAATTCCTGTAGAGTGTTTTGTTAGCGTTGGCACATCTCTTACAGTTTCTTTGGTGTAGTAGGGTGTGGTGTAGTCAGGGCTCAAACTAGGTGGGGAGAGCCCTATTACTATGTAGCACAGTACATAATTTATTACTAGACTGACAACTTGCAATATAAACATTAGCCCAAGCATGATCTTGTACCAAAGCCCCACCCACGCGGGGAGCCAGGAGTCTTCCTGCCACGCGCCATAAATCGTTTATGGTTTGCTCATGCCAGTGTATTTGCGAAGCAGCTGTGTATTGGGATTAGCAGTTTACAGAGGGCCCATGATGGGCTAAATTAGGGTCTGTTGCCCTGATGATGAATGTTGGTAATGGAGTGAGTGGAATAGCAGAAGTGCTTCTCTGTAACGGAAGGCAATTTGTTCAGGAATTGGGGGGAGGGGGGCTGGGGGATGTCACTGGGAAGGGCCGTGAGCTGTGTTGACTTGGACTCTGAGGTTAGCAAGGTGCAACCCATTGTGCTGCTCACGAGCTGAGGTGGACTGCCTGATTGCCAGCTGCCTAGAGGGGTTGGGGAGATTGGGTTATTTGAGTCAGTTGGGTTATTATGTGGGATGCAGATGAGCTGTTCCTGCTCTGCAGGGTAGCGGCTCTCAACTTTTTCAAACTGGCAGCACCCCTTG